TAGTACATTTTGAAATGTGGTTCTCCAAAGTAAAGGAAGATGTTTTTATATTTCTATCCAAGACAGGAAAAAGGGCAAAAGCCAATGTCATATACAATACATCGCTGCCTGTGCTCTTTGGGATCAAGAAATATGCAGACTCATTGTGGGACATTGTGAAACAACGAGACCTACAAGTGAACCTGAGGCAAAACCTGATTGAAGTGCGAGCAGATAAGCAAGAAGCTGTGTTTGAAAATCTTGACAAACCAGGTGAAACCAAAGTGCTTGAGGTAACTGTGTTGCTGTCCCTCAACAGTAGCTTTTACATATATATTAATGACTGCTGTGTTCACTGGACAACCTGTTACACTCTGTGCTATGTTATTTACTTCCTCTTTAAATCCTTAAAAGAAGGTTTTGTCTGTTGTGCCTTTTATGTTATGAACAACCTAATACACTGGGCATTATTTCACTCTTTGCACCTAAATAGAGACTCCTGTGAATAACTGAACCTTTTTTTGTTTTTCTTTATCAGTATGAAATGCTTCATGTCACACCACCAATGGGACCCAATTTGGTGATTAAAGGCAGTCTTCTGGCAGATGAGGCTGGCTGGTTGGATGTCAACAAAGACAACCTCCAACATAAGAGATATCCAAACGTGTTTGGGATTGGAGACTGTACCAACCTGCCCACATCCAAAACGGGTGCGGCTGTCGGTAAGTGATTTCCGTGTCATTATTTTCAACATTGCACCAACGCAACTCTAGAATGCACTCTTATTGATGCTTACAGTTCATGCACTTACATTTATTGTTAACTGTTTGGGATTTTCTGTAATTTGAAGGGAGTTCTTTCCTCAGTAAGTGTATTGCACCCAGGGTTTGGTAATAACGGATTATGTGTCATCGGGGTTATGCAATCATATTACAGAAAATGTACACCAAAGAAACCGCACCCCACATGTAGAACACACACGTTATATGTTTTGTAATTGTTGTTTCTGACCAACTGTAAATGCCAACCATAATCATATTCTGGGTTAATTAATGACGCCACAGTCACAATTTCAAAACGTACAGAGCAAATAAGTCATAAATAAGTCAAATGCATTCTGTCGGTAGAAATCGATCCTACGCTTATAAACAGAACACAGTTTGTTAAAGAGGTAACAGGCTACAGAGAGAAAACACCTCTACAGTGATGATTACTGTGTGTCTTTATTAGTATTGAGTATTATTAGTTACTATTATTAAGTACATTGATCATGTGAACAGACAAACTTATCAAAAGTCTCTCCAGCTGTTAAAGCTGACTGACAGCTGATCCACCTGTGATCAGCTGATCCTCCGTCATCAGAAACAGACGTCTCTTCACGTGACGCTTCAGAGGACAGGACGTCTCATATCTCTTAAAACATATTTCCTCGTTCCTCTCTTCTCGCATGGCTTCCGCCATGCATCCCTGGTGGGAGGGACTAAGACACAAGGAAAGGACACAAGTGAGGGAAACGGGGATGCAGTCAAGAGACTTGGGATGTACCCCATATACTGTTTTAAGTGTCAGGATTTAAAGTATCTGTGTCATGAAATGTATCTAAAAATAGATGATAAACACCGAATGACACAACTGCCTCAGACATCCAAGCAGTTAGTTATTGATCGATAGCTGTGACGGATGGCGCAGACAGTCATGATCCCCTCTGGAGAAGATATTTGACATTTGGTTGCCGCTTCTAACAAGGATTGTGAGCCAATAGTATAATTAGTATCGGGTGGTGTCTCTGTGTTGTCAGTTAAAAAACAAATAAATGGCTAAGTTTGACGGTTCAGTAAATAACAATCCTGTCAAACCCCGGATGCACAACATAGCTGTGCTATATGCACACTCTCACATACTGTACATCCTTGCCAGAACTGGCAACCACTTGTTGTGAAGTGGATGCAATGGAACAGGGAGGAGAGTGAGACCTCTAGTGGCTGAGTGTTGGCACCTTTTTAAAATCAAACTGCTATCTAATCCGACATTAGGACATGTTGCTTTAACAGACTTCTCTTGATTAGAATATAAAAATGCTGTAGACTAAATTTACTTTGCCTCTCAATTCAAGGGAAGTTGTACACCAATTTTACAGGAATTGAATCGAATGCACCCCAAGTCTGACAACATTGTGGCTTCCACACAGAGGATACACTTTTGATTAGGTAAAAGCCTGACAGGGCAGCGTCTTTGTTTAGTGGTTAGCACTGTTGGCTCGCAGCAAGAAAATCTTAGGCTCAAATCTACTGGGGACTTTCTGTACAGGCGTTGATGAAGGCCCATTGAATGTATGAAGCCCCAGATTTTGTTATACGCCGCTGATGTTACGTTTGCATGGTCTCCCTTTTTTCCACAGGACCCACAGTCCATAGACATGCCTGTTAGGTGAATTGGAAACTCTAAATTGTACCTGGATGTGAGTGTCTGTCAGCTCAGTGATAAGCTGGTGGCCTGTTCTGTGTGTGCCCTCCCTGCCTCTTGCCCAGTGTGTGCTGGGAAGGGCTCCAGCCCCCTGACATCTTGTAACATAATATGGATTTGGGTCACATCTTTAGTGATAAAAAAGAGAACTTACACATGTATTATAAACGTTTACCATGTATTTTATCGTTCTCAGCTGCACAGACTGCTATCTTGAACAGAACCATCAGCAAAGTACGGAAAAATGAGAAGCCAGATAAGATAGTAAGTGACACATAAACATCAATCTTGATTCATCTCTTTGAATTTAGAAAATGATGCAAATACATAATCAGTAACCTCCTTGTTTACAGTATGATGGCTACACCTCGTGTCCCTTGGTTACAAGCTACAACACAGTGATTCTTGCAGAGTTTGACTACAATGGACAACCACTGGAAACATTTCCCTTCAACCAAGCCAAAGAAAGAAGACTTATGTACTACATGAAAGCTGATCTGATGCCTCACCTCTATTGGCATGGGCTTCTGCGGTATGTATAAAGTTAATTAACAGCATGTTAATAGTTGGTAGTAAATAATCAAACCACAATTTATTAATGTTCTGTATTTGTCTTGTGTCAGGGGCCTGTGGGGTGGACCAGGACCATACAGGAAACTCCTTCATCTTGGAATGAAATGAAAACTGAAAATGAATGAAACTACCAATAATCATCCCCAAACTTTTCAGTTAAATTCATTTTGTAAAGCCCAAAATCATACATTTGCAATCTGTACACATACAACATCCTCTGTCCCAGGACCCTCGCATTTGCACAGGAAAAAGTGCGAATACCCCCCCCCCCCCCCCCCCCCCCCAAAAAAAAAAACAAACAAACAGAGGAAGAAACCTTATGGAGAGCAACAGAGGAGGGATTCCTCTCCCAGGATGGACAGAGGTGCAATATATGTCATGTTTCACAGAATGAACAACACAACATAAGTGATTATTTTTCTATGAGTGCTGAACTGAGTTACAAACATCTTGGTGGTTATATCATCTTGTTTGCTGCTAAATTCATTGTTGTATTCATTGCTCTTAATCATAAAATGACTGAGTACACTTATAAACCTTGTAAATTACGGTGATAATTAAAACTTAAAAATATACTCCGTATAGTTTCCACCTTGTTGCACTTTGTTATTTTACATCAAACAGTTTTACTGAAATATTGAATGTTCTATTTGACTATCCGTCTTCACCGCAGTTTGTTAATGGGCTCGTTCGAGATGAACTGCGCCTCGCCTGGAAAGTGGACGAGAGCAGCAGGCAGCAGCAGCAGCAGGGGGCGTTGACAGAAAACTGCGGATTAGGATAAAAAATTAGGATTTTCTACAAAACGTGGTGTTTGTTCTTGCAACTGCGGCACCTGTTAGAAGCCTACTGACAGGTGAGACTGTTCAGACTTCTGATTGGTCGAATGATGGAGGAGGCGGGACCAACGTTCTGAACTTCAACCACATTTCGTCCGTCCCCTCGACGGGTGGTCTAAAGTTCACATCGTGTGACTCGTCACACATCTGTGAAAGTCCTGCAGTCTTTACAGAGTCTATGCAGGTTGGACTTAATTCTCCCGGATTTCGTCTAAATTACCGGTCAGACAGACTGTTACACGGGCGGTGAGCTGTAGTGCTGTTCAAGGTAAGGCAAGGCCGGCCCCATCATTGGCTGCAAACTGGACGCAATGGAAAAGGTGGTGGAGAGGAAGACACCGAAGTAACTCATATCCATATTGGATAACCCAAACCACCCTCTCCACCACCTACTGCAGGGACAGCGGAGCACTTTCTCCAACAGACTCATCCAGCTCCACTGTCACAAGGACAGATACAGGAGATCATTCCTGCCCACTGCAATAAGACTTTATAATAAATCACCTCTGGCCAAATCATTCACAAGACTAGAACTCCGGTACACTGTTGTTTGGTTTGGTTTGGTTAAATCTTTGCACTGTTGTTTAGTTAGTTAATTTTATTCTATTTCAATGTGTACAGTATATTGTGCATTTTTCTATTTAATATTTATTATTACTTTTTATAATTAAAAAGTTATTTTTATTGCTTTCTGTACCATAAATACTGCTGTAGCGAAAAAATGTCCCCTTGTGGGATTAATAAAGTAGCCTACCTATCTAAATATCACACAAGTGCAGGTTGTTGACAGATTTGTACATTTGAGTCCCAGACAGTATAACTGAGTTTATTGCCAACCACAATGCCTTGTTGTTTCTCACACAGAATGGCTGCACTGTGTCGTCTGAGGCAGTGCCACTCCACAGGCATTGCCATCTCTCATTTTCACACGAGCAGCCATGCCTCTGCCAAACTGCACTATAAAATGCTTGTTGTCGGAGGAGGAACTGGGGGTATTTCGATGAGTGCGAGGATGAAGAGGATGATGGGAGCTGAGAATGTGGCAGTTGTGGAGCCCAGTGAGGTAAGGATCCGGTGGATTATGATTATTATTTGCTTTACCTCTCTTTGTGTATCACTAGGAGACAACTCAAACCACAGATTATGAAACGTGATGGCTTTCATTCAGCCAGCTGTGAATTCCTGTTTGCATTTTTAGAAACAAGAGTATTTTCCCAATGTGTCATACAGCTTTTCTGTTTCTACAGATGCACTACTATCAGCCAATTTGGACCCTGGTTGGTGCCGGTGCAAAAACTTTAACCTCATCAGGTCGTTCTACTGCGAGTGTTATGCCCTCTGGAGTGAAGTGGGTGAAATCGAAAGTTCAGGAAATAAACCCAGACACAAATACTGTCCGCACAGACGACGGGAATGAAGTATGTTTGCTTTAGGGAACTGTTTGCTTACAGTGTGCATATTGAATAATGTGTCATTTACTGACTCGACATTGAGTATATGAAGTAGATTTATTATGAAATGATTATGATCTATGTGCATCTTTCCCTACTTGGACTTTCTTTCACATTGCAGATCACCTACGAGTATTTGATTGTGGCTCTTGGTTTACAAATCCATTTTGAGAAGGTGAGGTAATGCTTTGTTCATTCCCATATTATGTGCAATATTACTTTTTATTAATTTTTCCAATATCATTGCCAATATTACTCTTAATATAATGCACATGCATTACTTTTCTATTGTAGTTTACTTATTTTACTAAATCTATCTTATATTTGCTATTCTATTTTGTACTGGTGTTAGTATAACCTCTTATACACTTTTTGTTTATTACTTTATTGAAGAATTTTCCTCTAGATTAATAAAGGTCCATTTAATCTCGCTTTAAAGAATTATATTCCATGAAATTGACACTCTTCTTGTGTGTAGATCAAAGGACTGCCTGAAGGATTTGAACATCCAAAGATTGGGTCAAACTACTCGGTCCAAACTGTGGAGAAAACGTGGAAAGCACTGCAGGACTTCAAAGAGGGCAACGCTGTGTTCACTTTCCCAAATACTCCTGTGAAATGTGCTGGAGCTCCACAGAAGATTATGTACCTAGCGGATGCCTATCTCAGAAAAGTACTT